ATAATCTACAACCACAATAACGTGATGAAGAATTCAAGGTGTCAAATCCTCCTCATGCTTTCTATGTACATACCCAATATTTGAGGTGAGGGCTATATTTTTCAGCAGTAAAATACAAGTTCTTGTATCCGATTTCTTAGTTTTCCCTTAAGTGTTTTGATTTCGTTTTCTAATTTTAGGATCCGGGTTTTGATTTCTCAGTATGGGTTCTACTTTGATTTAAGGTTCAAGACTTCAATTTCAATTGTTCATCACACACAATCACAATTTTGGGCTATGAACAACATGGCAATGTTTTGCTTTCTATACACTGTAATTTATTATTTTTTATTTTTTATTGCAATCATTAGGTTTTCATTTCTATTATTCACTAATTGATTCGTAAAATTTTCATTCTTCTATTTTCTAAATTTTATAATTGATTGAAATCCTTTGTATTCTAACATCTTATAATTGATTGGTATATCAAAATGGATTATTAAAATTGCTTATTTTGGCCATCTTGTACCAATAGGGTTTGACCATTGGTAAAGAGGTCCTCTCTTTGGTCATTAAAATTTACAAATTTATGTTTTCTAGACCATTAAAACCTTTTGTTGCAATTACATATAATCTACTACTAATTATGCTTCAATTTTGTTTATTTTTACTTTGAGTTTGTTGTGATTGTTTAATATCGATTATGATGTCTAAAAGTATTTGTCTGGAAATAAGAAAGAAAAAAAAAGTTAGGCTCGGTTTGGTTTGAAGGATTGTTTTTTAGGGATTTGAACTTTATGAAGGGATTTGGATTGAAATGGATTTGAGCTCATTTGTGTGTTTGGTTTATAGAATTTCGAATGCAATTGGATTTCATTATTTATAAAATAATTATAAATGATAATAAAAATAATTAAATTACATTTTTATTAATCAATTATTACAAAACAAATGTTTTGAACATTTTTTAAAATCTTATTTCATACAATCATATGAAATCACGAGCACCCCCTAAGGATTTCAAAATCTTATGTTTGTAGGATTTCAATTAAATCCTAAGATTTCTAATCCGGACAATCCAACAAACCAAACATGTGATTGGAATGGATTTGAAATCCAAATTCCTCCAAATCCATTTCATTCCTGCAAACCAAACGGGACTTTAGTTGAGATACAGATAATTTTTTTTTAAGATTGTAGGTTCCTTTAAGATGTATTAAATAATATTAGTTGGTTTTATTGTTGTTTTTGCATCTTAAAATGCTAAAAATAGTTGCTTTGTATGAATTATTAATATCTATTGTATACTATATCCAGCGTAAATAAGTGTCTACATTTTTATTTTAGTTTGTTTCAAAATAAATATCCACATTTAAAAGTAATGTTTATTTTTCTCATTCTAACCTTAATTATAAGTTAGAGAATTTTTCTTTTTCTTTTATTATTAGGTAAAAATGTCTTTTAGTTGATTAAAAAGAGTAACAATTACATATTTATACAAAAAATGTGACTTTTTCATCATAGACATTTATTTTGTGATGGAAGAAGTACAATTTTATTTATGATAATAAAAAAATATTTTTAAAAGATTTTTTTTATTTTTTTCGTATTTATCAATGGCCAACTTTTACAAATCACTTAGGGTCAATAAAATGTCTAAAACGAACCTACTTACTTGATTTACTCGCCAACATGCCTCTTACTAGCTGACAACCACCTGTAGTATTTTTACTATCCATCTTGAAACTTCAAAATCAGAATCTTTTTATCCAATGAGTGTGAAACCATAATCTTTAGAATACCAAATACTAAAAAAATAGATGTGACTTTTAAATGTATGATAATCTACTTTTTGCAATAACTTCTTATCTATTTTTTCAATGTATTTATTTGTTAGGGCAACTACATTAAAATGGAACCAACTTCCGTCTGATTTCTATTTTGGAGAACTAACTTTCAAAATTATTATTTAAGGGTCTGAAACAATGTTATCAAAATGGAACCAACTTCGGTTTGATTTCTATTTCATAATTATCATTTCTCTCGTGGCCATTGTCCTTCCCCCTCCTTCTCCATTGCCCTTCGCTCATGCTCCTCCTCTCGTCCCTACCACCGTCACTCCTTCGACAATCATTGTTGATCTGTATGTGCTGCTGTCCTCTGTAGCCTATCCTCCTCTTCCCACCACGTCTCTCTTCCTTCTTTGTCTTCTTATCGGTGGTGTCACACATCCAATCTCTATTAGGAGATCTATTAACAACAAATATAGCTACRCCAGAAGAATTAATAATATCTCATGAAAATTTCTTACAAGAAGCTGTGGATGCACTTCTTGATAATGGAATCTGCGGACAACCAATGAGGGATGATCATAATAGAGTTTACAAGTCGCTTTTGTCAAACCAAAACAAATTGTACTCCATAATCCTTTTTTGGTCGTTTTTGTATAATCGTAGACATGTGTTGGACCTGTAAATTCAGTTTTGATATTGATCTCTTACTCTGAATGAACTCTTAGGACGATCACAGTGCAGCVDAAAYAWTTATAAGAACAAAACAGAGTAATTAAACCAAGAACACACAGTTTAATATGAGAAAGAAGATGAACACAGGAGAATAGCTTCAAAGGTTTTCAATTCATTCAATTGAAATTTAGACGATTACAATTCGGAAGCACATTGAATACAAAGGCCTAAGCTGCTATTTATACTAGACCCTAACGACCTTACTGACATGATCTTGAAAGTGAAATCATCTAAGCCGTCCAAATAAATTCTATTAAAATCTAGTCACGTGAGAAACACATGCAGCTAACAACCTTTGAAAAACAGCAGGACAGGATCTTTATAGAAGACGAATCCGCAGACCCTCTGTGAGCCATCTCAGAGGCTCTGCTGTAATTGACTTGTATGATCTTATTGCCAGAGGACCATTTTTCATTACCTCTGTGAGAGACATCAGAGGTTCTGTCATTCTTGACTTACAAGATGAAACAGCTTCTGATGCTAGTCCTCTGTTGTCTTCTGTGGAAGATACCCTTCTGTTAACACTTGCAGAATAGTTTTTCATACTTTTACATTAAGTGAATATTAGAGCTAACAATCTCCCCCTAAGTATGAAAAAGTAAAATTGGACAAATGGATGCAAGAAATGACTAAATGAAAGAATTACAAGAGGAGATTAAACTCATCCTCTGAAAAGAATTACAAAATTGAAATAATATAAAATTTTGTTTCTCAGGCCTATACTATTACAGAAGATTAGTCCACATCAGAGTCTGGATAGTCATCTACGGCAAATTACAGATCTGACTTGATGGTTATGTAGACTTTGAATATCCACTCTCTGAAGGAGACTTGAACTTTGATTGTATCCAGAAGACCAGTCACTTCGTCCGCCCTTAGATGCCCTCTGTGCACCTCTGTGCACCTCTGCCACCACTCTGTTGAACACCCACTCAAGGGACTATGTCGAGTACTTGTTCACCTCTGCCGGATCAAAGAACCTTAGAATGTCATCCTTGTCCAAGAACACAAACCCAAAGACGGGATTGTGGACAATGGTGTTGGGATGACATCTAAGTAACCAACTTKGCYTGTTCTTCGGAGGGGAAATCTTCAAATCTGTTTGGGCCAACCTCATCGCGATATCGAAGTCCTTCTAGCTGTAGTATTTTACTTGAGCGCGCATTACTTCGATCAGCCTTCTGAGGGAAATCGAATAGCTTGACCTCCTCTCCATGTATTTGTTAAGAATTTTGTGCAAGAATTTTGGACACATCGAAGAAGGATTGGGAATCCTCATCATTTCTTTTCCTAGAGGGTAATGAAAGAGAGATAAATATAGATAAATAGAGAGGAAGATATAGATGAAGCAAAGTTATGATGCATATGAAAGTGCTGATACATTGGGAAGCTTTTGTCATCCAACATGCTAGAAGTTATCAAAAAGAAGTTAAATAAATTACTCTTTGGTTAGGGTAAAAGGACGTCGTCAGGATGATTTTGAGCTAACAATTTGATTGGGATTTGTATATGAAATAACAAGTAGGATAGTATAAAGGTCAATCTTGCAGTAGTAGCGGAAGTACCTAAGAGTCTGACAAGCTTCAAGTCGTCTGAATGACGGAGGTTGCGGTAATGGAGGTCCTTGGAATGGAGAAGGGAGCTAGGAAAGGGGAGAGTAATGGTGTGACACATCATCATTTTATAGTTTCCATGTCATTATTCTAAATTTGTTTTTGTATATTTAATAATGACATCAAATCTTAGTTGACAAAATACTTTAGAGGCTGTTTGTTTATCTCTGAATAGTTCTATTAAGAGACAACATCGAATCGCTAAAAAGCCAGTCTTGTTTGACAAAAAAAAGTTTCTGCCTCTTGATGGTTCTAAAACCCTTTGAATTATTTTGTATCTTGTACCTCTCTAAACCATTAAGCGCCCTACTTTCATTCTGAACAATTATGAAACAACCATATTTCATTTTGCACTATATCATAAAGCTTCTTAATCGGTCTGACCACTTAATCATCATGCACCAAATCATTCAGCAATTGCCAAATTAACAAGACCTTTACATAAATGCAAACTTTTTTCAGAGATTTAAAAGATAATTTTGAAAGTTGGTTTCTCAAAATAGAAACAAAATCAAAGTTGATTATGTTTTAATGCATTTTCCCTTAATTTTTTTAGTTAAAAAATCAAAATAAAAATCAATTTTATCAAAACAATATAGAAATTATTATCACTACTTGCATTGACTCATTTTAACCTGTTTCTGTGGATCCGATAATGATCTTGGATAATGGGCCTGGGATCCGACCCATTTACAAGAATTGGACTTTTAACGGGCTTCCTGATTTATTTTGTCTGATACGAGTCAACTCCACCTTTCGGGGTTTCCCTTTATTTTACACATATGGTCCCTCATGTTTTACAATTACTTCTTTTTAGTCCCTAAATTCTGGCCTCCAAAACAATATCCTAGGGACAAGTTTTGTGATTCGCAAAGGAGAAACAGCTGCGCTAGAAACCCTAGAATGTGTTTTCTCCTTCGCCCACGAATCAAACCTGCACATAGTTAAGAGACTGAGCCTTAGTACGTGTGTTTGAAGTTTGGTGAGATGGGGAAGAAGAAGAAAAGAGTATCATCAGATGTATGGTGTTATTATTGTGACAGAGAATTCGATGATGAGAAGATCTTGGTTCAGCACCAGAAGGCTAAGCATTTCAAGTGCCATGTCTGCCATAAGAAGCTTTCAACTGCAGGCGGTATGGCCATCCATGTTCTGCAGGTCCATAAAGAGACTGTTTCCAAGTAAGCCTTACTTTCTAATTCGTCATTCAGTTCGTCATCCTGTGTTTTGTTTACGAATGAGTTTTTGTGGTAAATCTTTTTGGAATTTTAGGATGTTTTTGCCCTAGCATGACTATTGTTAATTCATCATTCGCAAGTAGTGGTGGTTGTAGATTAGCAGAGTACGAAATTAAAACACCTTCCTAAAACAAGAGTGTTCAGGAGATAAACATGGTTGGGAGCCATTATCGGCTAAATTAGCACCTACCCGTAGACAACCTTCTGTTGTTAAACTCTTCAGTCGATGATTATATATGGGTAGGGTTTGAATCACAGGGGCAGCGCCCTTAAATTGTACTTGACTACTTGACGTTACAGGTCACAGTTGAACTGTCTTATCAACCACCATGTAGCCTTTGTTGCATCAAACTGGTTTGCTAAGGGGCAATGGCAAACTCGAGTTCTTTGCCAAGGTGTTGCGTATACAACACAGTAGTTTACGTTGTATAGGAAGTTACTATTTTTTTTCAGGCTTTAGTGGGGTCAAGTTAGATACCAAGTCTCATAAATTCGGAAAATTCAATAAGGTTTCAACTACCATTCAAAGTTTGAGCAGTGTGGGATTCACAAGCTCTTTGGTCTGGATACATATGTCGTTGGTTCTTGTAACTTCTTTTTAGATTAATTAGTAATGTGGTAATGATAGTGCTTATTTACTTCTGAAGAAGCTACAAGTTGCTGAACTCATCGTTATTTTTGGATGGACAACCTTTTGCTTTTAGATGCGGGTCAAAATGTTGAAAACCTGAGTGTTACTAATATTCTGATTGTATGTGATCATGAGGGGATAAATGCTTTTACGTATTGATTGCATTTACAAGCGTATGGTTTTATTATACTCATCATATATTTGGAAGCGTGATGAATAGGCTATGATTTATGTTGTATCAGAAACTTTCTTGTTTCGAGTCTATAACATGAGTGCCAAGCTACACATCACATTTCTATGAGGTTGTTATCCAATAGGATGCCTTTAGTAATGGGCATTGTTATCTAATAGATGTTATGTGATTTAGTGATTGTGGAGATATTAGGAGATAAGCATAGGCGTAGAAAAAGAGAGGGGATAATTGCTTTGCTGGTGATTCATAGATCATCATAAGAGGATAACTTTTGTATTTATATTATTCGTCTTTGACTTTGGTTTTTTCGTATTTAGGGTTTAGATAATATGTATTAGTGCTTAGGTGAACCCAAATATGTAACAAAATAGATGAGCCTATGGGTCTGCATTGATAAACACATAAAAAAGTACTTTTTATAGAGGTTATAATTGGACGTTAGTGAGTTGGTGCTTTGTTTGAATGTAAACAAAATGAATGGAAAGAAGTGTTTTTGAATGCTTACTACATGATAGTCAACTTACAGATTGGTACACCCATGGATGTTTTCCACAATGAATGGGTGTGTCATGTGTGTCTAATATGTGCAATACATTCTACGTGAAATTCCAACTTCATAGGATGCACTTGTCTTACTATCTCGCATGAGATTTGTGGAGGTTTGATGACCTGAAATGGAATGCAAAACTAATGTTTGCTTTTAGCTTTTTAAAGAAATGAGATTGATACTAAAAAGCTATAACAACTAGCGGTGTCCCTTGAGTAATTGGCTTCAGGAACAATCATGTATAGTTCCCTAGAAAGTCCTTTTACTTATCCGGTTCGCCAAGAGGCTTTCAATACATAGGTAGCAACCCGCCATCAGGTGAAATAACTAATTTGCATTCATGTATTGTATATTTCAGTAAATAATTTGTGTGACATTTTTTTGCTAACATATACTAGTCTAATTTCAAGGCTTTAAGACATTTGTCCTATAAATGCATGACTTGCTAAGAGCAAAAGCTTGGAATGATCTTAACTTTTGGCTTATCTATTGATGCCATTCGTTCTGATTATGGTATCATTCACATATACCCTGTATAGTTCTCTTGCAATGGCAATGTGCATAGAAAACGATAATCATTTTGATTCAAGAGATATCAAACGGACTGTAAACATTATATATTTATCGAACTTTAGGATGCTGCTTGTAACTTATTTAGGGAATTTATATCTCATTTTTCATGAGAAAGGATAATAATTCATTATATACAAATGGTAACCTATATTTAGGAAACCTTACTTGAGATTGCTTGAAAATCTAACATTCCTCATGTTAGAGCAAAGATGTTAATCATGCCCAACTCATTTCAATAAAATATATATGGACTTTTCATAATGGCTTTGTGAGAATGTCTACAAAGTTGGTACTTGGTCCTCTATCTCGATGTGCTTGGTTCTCTTATGGAATACTTGATTCTCTACTATATGAAAAGAAAAATAGTTGACTGATAATCTACACCAAGTCTTCTTTAATTATTCCAACCTCTTTTAGAAGTCTCCTTATTCATGTCATTTTGCATGAAACATTTATCATGGCTTTGTTCTTCAACTCGACACTTGATTGGGAAACAATATGTTGCTTCTTGGTTTCACAAAAAACTTGATTTCTTTTGACGAGTACACAATGTTTGTAGTTCATCTTTTAGAAACATGATAACCAACCCCATTTGCATCCAATAAACCAGATATCCTATCGTTTCTTTTTCAGTGAAAGCACCTGCTTGACACCGACCCTGATCTGAGTAGAGTATTCCTAAGCCTGAGATGGCCCTAAAATACCTCAAAATGCAAAGTGCTTCATTCTAGTGAGTAGTGACATGTGTAAGGAGTAGACATGAACTACTCTACTAACTAGGAATGATATCGGTTCTAGTAAATGTCAAACAACTTAACTTTCTGACTAGTCTCTTTATCTTTTTGATTTTTTCATGCTGCGACGGGTTACTAGAGAAGAGGGGACAACTTCTTTCTCCTTTGCATTGCTCAATCTTCCTTTCGAACCTTTGGAAGAAGTTTTCTTGTAATGAGCATCATCTAATAGATCACACTTAGGGTCCGTTTACCGAACTCTTACCCGGTGTCACTTACCTTACCGGTAAGCATGGCAAGGATCGCTAATCTTAATAGTAAGAGGCATAACAAGGACCAAGAATCTTACCCGCCTACCCGACATGCACTTGTATGGTCTGGAGAGGCTTACTTCCCGTGCACATCACGGCTAGATTTGAGTCACATTCATCTCCTTTAGATTGCTTTAAACAATCCAGGGTGATGAAGGGCCTCATTCACAATATAGGTATAAATGGGTATAGGAACACCATTGTGAGGAGAGGTGAGAGTAAGGTGGGCAATCATGGATGGGATATCGGGTACAAGACTGTATTTTTAGATGATAATTGGAATATTAAAAAAGGCACAACAGGTAGGTTATAAGTAGGATAGATATATTGGGTGATGCAACAGGAGACACACCAAAATGATTATGCACACCAAGTGGATCGTAAGGCTCGATAGGTAGTCATATTAGGTGGTGGAATAAGAGATTTACCAAAACCATGGTGTGCCTGTAAGGATCCTTGGGTATTAGGGCACTTGTTTTTGTGTTATCAAACATACGCCTTTTGTGAATCGAGTATTAGTCAGTACTATACAAGTTCCAACCTTTGGTGCTATTATTGGGAGGTTTAGGACCGGAGTATCAGAAGACTTAAAAGGTTTGGGAACTAGTTTTGCTTACTCTAAAGCATTACTGGTAGCTTGACAAAGAAATGATTCTGTTCAATGAAGGTAACTTTAGCACAGGTAAAATGACTATAGAGGATTGGACTATACCAATGAGCCTTTTTGGACATGGGAATAGCCTAGAAACACACACGTGATAGCACGTGTTGTAAGTTTATTATGTCTTGAGAGATGATCTTGAAGATAAAATAGACATTGAAATATTGTAGGAGGCAAATGAAAAGAGTGCCTTTTGAAAAGAGTATGGAGAAATGTTTTATATCTTTGATGGAACAGGACATACATTAATAAGGTAATTTGTTGTAAAAAGTAAAAACTACATCTGCCAAACTCTGTTGTACATTATAGTGAATCGTCATAGTGCGAGCCACATCTAAATCTTTTGTTTAGCAATGGCATTATGTTAGGTTATATAGGCACATGATGATTCATGTATAATACCATGTAGAATCATAGGAGAAATATTCTTTTGCATTTCAGATCAAAATGGTCTAACATGGAAACATAAATTGGATGTTTGTTTAGATAATACAAAGACATTGTACAATAACACTATTTATGATCATATAAAGACCTTTAAAGTCGATGCAATTTTGTCTCCTCTTCAACCATGAAACATGTTGGTTAATTCATATAAACCTACTCATCAAGAAATTCAAGCTTGGGAACAGTACTTGACAGTTTTCATCTTTTGAGATGCAACCAAATGGGTGCATACAACTAGAGCAATACAAGTCTGAAGGAAGGTAATGCTCATAACTAGAGAAGAAGTCCCTTCATAACTGATTACACAAGCTTGAGAACAATACTTGACAATTTCATGAAAAACACTTGCAATGGAGAGCACTCTCTGGAGAGAGAAGTTTCTTCTTTATGCATGACTGTGCACCAATTTCAATGATGAATTTTTAGAATGGTTGGTTAGCAGGCGATAGAGGCCATATATGATATAATTCTGGATAGGATTTGTAGTAGAAGTTCGCGTGTCTTGCATATGACAGTGGGTGTCAATTGACTATGTATGAGGCTGCTTACATGAAGACAGTGTCTGGAAGGTACACTGTAGAGGGGAGCATTGGTGTAGTTCTTTATCGTCATTGCTCTTAGTTTCTCATGGGGTTTTCCTGTCATGCAGAAATATCCAGGCTGTTCTGAGGTCTTCTCTTTGATCGTCTTATTTTCATTTATTTGATTATTCTCTTCCCAGAGTTATGCTAAGCGAATCTCTTGCTTGTTAATCAGTTCGTTTCTGACTTAAATGAGATGCTTGATTGCTTGTAACTTGCTAGTTTCTGATCCCTATTCCTTCATTTTCCCTTGATTATTTCTCTTAATCTTGTTGGTTAAACATCAATTCATATTTATGATTGATATCTCTTACAGGGTTCCAAATGCTAAAGATGGCAGAGAATCAACAGATATTGAAATTTATGGCATGCAGGGGATCCCACCTGACGTCTTGGCAGCTCATTACGGAGAGGAAGGTATTTAATATTCCCTTCTTTATTTACTTCTTAAATTTCATTTTAATTTTCCTGTACTGTTAATTACTTTTTTAAAAATGCATATATGTTGAATTTTAACATCCAAAGATCCAAGATTAATGCAAATTTATGTAACTTCCAGAAATAACAAATATGGTATTAGTATTTACTGGTAGCTGAAAACAGCTTTAGGTATTTGTATTGTAATCAATGAACTCATTGTCTGCACTCATATCTAAAAAAGTTGTGTATGGACTATTTCATTTGGTGGGAGTAATATTATTCTTGGAATACTCAAACTTTGTTTTATTTAGAGCTGGATATGTGGTTTGTTCATCTAACTCTAAACTTATATCAGAAACTGGGACTGTTATACTATGTCATTTATTTGTTTTAATATAAATATTGAGTGCAGCTCTTGTTATTCTCCATCCACAAGAGATGGAAGCATAGTTGGATGGCCAAGTATATTGAGATCATGGGTATGCTTTGGCTTAATTTGAGCTTACATGCTTTCACTTAGGTAATTTTTTCTGCTGCTCCTTGTAGTTTTATTTGTATCAGATTTGGCACACTTGTAGGTAGCTTGATGGAAATTGGTTACCGAATTGATATCTTTCTCCACATTTAGGTTAGTGAAGATAACGTCTTTGTTTGGTATTTATCATTATCACTAGGGGCGTTAGCGAGCCAAGTCGAGTAGTAGGTTTTGTTTGAGCTCGGCTCGAGAAAATAATATCAAGCTCGAGCTCAAATGACTTTTTTCAATGTTCGAGCTCTAGCTCGATGTTTGTTTAACAAATTTGAGCTATACATTACACCTAAAATTCAAGCTGTATAAGCCCAATTTTATGGAATCAAACTCGAGATCGATTAACTCGTTTATTGGTTTGAGCTCGATAATCTGTTATATTTTGATTGTATGGTTTTGGGCAAATTGCATAAAAAAGTAATCTACTTTGGTTTGATTCCTATTTTGGGTAACATACTTTTAAAACCTTCATTTTGATACATGAGATATAAAATCTCAAACATTTAAGTACCTGAGTAATCTGTTTAACCCTAAGCCGTTATGGCGGTTGATAGCGGAAATAGCGGTTGGGACCTTGATTTGAAATAGCGGTTATCAGGGTGATATAGTGGTAAAAAAATATGCTCATAAAATAAATACGAATATATATATACATAACTTAAAATATTTTTTGCCTAATACATATCAATTCAAACAATTCAAACCACACAAGCAACATAACAATAGAGTTTATAAAAATCATAAACAACAAAACAGTAACAACTAACAAAGTTTGAATAGGAGCACAGAGCACTTGAGCAGGAATCGAGGTGAGTTCGATTCTCAATCGAGCATGTCGAGAGTCAAGACCGGAGTTGGAATCGATAGCACTTTGAGAAGAGCTTTGGACTTGGAAGTTGGAATCGATACAAAGTTTGACTCTAAATAGCCCACACAAAAGCCCAAAAGAATCATTCAACATTTAGTCCAAAAAAGGAGTCCAAAATAGGCCAAAGAAAGCGGTAATAGCGGACCGCTGTTTGGTACCAAAATAGAGGTAATATTAGCTGCTGCTATTTGCGGCACCGCTAACCGCTATCTCTCCGCTATTCGCTATTAACAGGTTACCATGCTTACTGGGCAAATGATATGGTATACAATTAATACTTTATTTGCAGACATGGCAAATGATGTGATTTTTGTATGTAAATTAGTTGTAAATAATTTTCATTACTATATTTTTAGATTATATTATTTATAATTTATATACATTTTTATTACTATATTTTTTAGATTATATAATTCATAAATTTAACAACCATTCTTTAATTGTAATTTTATAATCTAAAAAATATCTAAAATTTGTATAACCCATTTTTAAACAGTGAAGAACATGTTCTTCATCACAAAACATATAAAAACATAAACCAGAAAATCTTAAATATCATGTTCCTCAACTCAAAACATGAACATAACCCAAAAGTTCTTTAAACAATGTGTTCTTCAACTTAAAACAATAGCAACATCAAAATCAACATGAATCAAGAAAATACTATTGTATCTCAAAAAATACAAAATCATAAATCAAAAGCTTGAATCAACGATGGTTTCTCAAAAAACCCTAAAAGCAAGAACCACAAGAAGATTCTAAATCTACAATTCTAATATGGCTTCTTCAAGTTCAATATCAAGAGAAGGAAGGACCATGAAACTCAAGCGTTCTTTATCAAACAGGCATGGTAGCCTCGAGATTTCAAATTATAACGTCTGAGCAGTTGACATTTTGCCATCAAAAGAGGGTCGGCAATTGATTGCTTGGGCAGTTTCCGTGGCTGGAGTTGGTGGCGGATCAGAAGGAGGTTAGGATAAGAAGGGGCGTGGCGGCTGCAAATAAGCAAGGGGTTTAGGTTAGGTTTTTAACTTTCTTTGTGTTAGAAATTACTGGAAATCTCTTAGTGAATTTGGATGCATGAGTCAGCAAATTTTATTAGATGTAAAATGAACAGAGATTACAAATGATTGGCCCCCACTTATTTATAGGCTAAACAGGAAAGAAATAACAGACTAACAGAACTAGCAACCGACTGTCTACCAGAATTGAAGTCATACCCGACAGTTTGTTATTATAAAATATTGCAAAATCAAGTTTTAAAAATAATAATTACGTTATTTCAAAAGAAAAATAGTTACATGAAATCTTATCTTTTTTAATATTAAAAGCTTTAAGAATTAAAAAAATAATGATATGAATTTTTTTGGCTAAAGTAAAACATATTACAAATATTATAATTTTTTTAAGATATGATGTGATTTTTTTTGCTTAGTTGGCGCTAAAAAATATAAAAAATGAGACCACATAAACAAAAACCTGATCCTAGTCGGCATTTTCAGGTTATTAGGTAAATCGGGTACCTAAATGTTTGAAATGTCACATCTCAGCTACTAAAATGAAGGTTCTGAAAGTATGTTGCTCAAAGTAGGAATCAAATCAAAGTAGGTTACTTTTTCATGCAATTTACCCCATGATTTTAACATATGAATATGTTTGGCTGGGAAAGTGTATACTCGAATGGCTCGGAAAATTACATTTACAATCGAGCTTCTAAACAAGCGGAGTCGAAATGGTGTTATGGAGCTTGACTCGTTAAGTTAAATGAGCTTTATTTTGTCTCGAGATCAACTCAAGCTCGAGTAGTGCATCAAAAGCTCGAATCGTTAACAACCCTAATTATCACTACTGTTTATCTTTGTAACTCATCATTATCTATTATGGTCCTTCATATATAAAGGGATCACTTGGTTCTTAAATAGATATATTAAAAGATTATACCAACATTCATTTGCTTCATGGTATTGGAAGGTTCATGGTGGAATCTGGTTAAACCAGAATCCCGTTGCTTCATTATCACCATTGTGATTGAAATCTACCACCACCTAAAATCATTTCTTAAAGTGGAAAAACATTAGGCCCCGGAACCTCTTAGGGATGTTATCTGGCCTTAAAGGTCCTATTATTTTTCTGAAGCTTGAAGTGTTATGTGGGACATGTGAACCTGTAAGAACAAGGTAGTGCTAAAGAGTTCTGAAGGGACTTGCTTGGATCCTACTGTTTCCCAGTTGCCATATCAGACCCAGGTGATCTTGAAGAAATGTGCTGGCACTGCAGGATAGTTCTGAAGGATCGAGATGCCATGATCATTCTGAAGGATCTTGAAGAATGGAGATCCTCATGATACTGGAACTGCCGGATAGTGTGACAATCTCTCACTGTTAGATGACGTGTCTCCTCTCAGGAAGATCACAGATCACCCCAATCAATCACTGTGTGCATGTATCATTGCCATTTTAGTCTCTTTCAGCGATCTCTCATGTTTGATAAAATGCCTGTATCTCTCGTCTCTCAGCTGGGACCGCATGTTCTCTGCATGCTCGGTATTCCATATGCAACACCTTTGTACATTTGACAAGAATTTGATTCACATATGGTCCTGGAAATTTTCAAAACTATCATTTGTGAACAGATGATGTGATAGAGCATAACTGTCTATATTCTGGTAAATTTGTCATTGCTACTACTTGTAAATGAGCAGCAATTATTTCTACCAATATGCCATGCTTATTTTTTTATGTGCTATCTTTTCATACCTTCTATAGTTTTATCATTTTATATATTTCATTTTATCTTCTGCTGTTCTTTCAGAGTGTCTAGCATGCTATAGAACAATGGTTACTTATACTTTATAATGCATATAACCTTGTCATCGTATGTGTTGAATGAAATCCTAATATACGTTTGTTGGGTTATAATGGATAATGATGATGGCTTGATCTATGTTAATTTGCTTAGCTAAAGAAGTGATAGATCTCCATTTTATTTTTTTCTTCTTCTTGGGACAAATAACAGCAGTGCTTTGCTTCACTCATCTTTTGCAGACAATGACAACCCAACAAAAGTTGGAAAAGTGGAGATTCCTTCTTCCCAAGTTGGCATGATACCAGGATCATTAGGATATCCTCCATCAACATTGCAGTCTATGTAAGTAATGTTTTGCTCCAAACTTATGCCTAAGCCTATACCTACACGTTTATCATTTTGGAGTTTTTATTGCATGTGTGTACATGGGCTATTAACTTGCATCGACATATGAAAGTTGATTGACAGTTGCAGAGAAAATTTTCATCTATTCATCTTGGTTTGTACTTGTTTTTTGATGCACAAATCATGTAGTATTGACCATAATAAATGCTACATCCTCTCTTTAACAGCATAGAGGAGAGTGGATCTTTTGAACTGCCTTTTTAATATCTTTTATTCCTTTTGAAATAAGTTATATGAGCTATATAAATACACAATAGTTAATACTAACTGTATTGCTCCTTATCTCTCAACATTAGTCGGAGTACGGATGAGAGAGGGCTATTGGTATATCTAGAGATAGAGAAATCCAAGGAGACTAAGGTGTCATTGTCTGTAACAGATATATATATATATATATAGAGAGAGAGAGAGAGAGAGAGAGAGCAAATATGATTTTCCTTTCTGAAATTTGCATCAACTTATGCAAAGAGAGCTACTATAGTACATCTAAAATTTTGGTGTTCAATGGGCATTAGTTGGTACAAAGAGTGAGGTATTCTAGATGTTGAACATGGATATGACTAGTAAGGCAAAATGGATATCTATTAGGGTATATAGAGCGAGTAGCAGTTATGATGCACTTCACCATTTCTAAAAATAAGTGTGCGTTAACCCACAGGCTGGTGTTGTCCGCATTCCAGTTAGGGTGGTTTCTCCATCATTATGTGATCATGCTGGTAAGAATGTTTCGACGAAGACAACTGCTTGTAGAAGCAAAGGACTACTATCAGGTAGTCCACTTGTGCTAATTTCTTGGGCCAAGTATATGAATGGTCCAATACAAGGTTGTAAATGGCGTGAGGTGTGGCTTGGCGGCAAGGTTAAGCCTCAAGCCTTAGGGGCCACGGCAAGACTTATGCTGACAAATATTTTTATCATATATATAGTTATGTACATGCACATACGTTTTTCTACTATTACTCAACGAGTCAATGAGGTTAAGCAATTTAAACGAGGTTATATATTGAAAACTCAAATGTAAGATACTAAAAAGGTAAGAAAAATCAACTATCGCTTTACATAAACCACACATTGGTCCATGGTGTGCACCACATGCTTAATGTGGCGTAAGACGTGAGTCTTGAGCCATGTCGGCTTCCGTGGTGAGCCTTTTAGAACACTGGTCCACTGTCATTTGCAGGGTTTTCAAGGTCATTAAGGTGCTAAAATATGGGAGAAATGGTAGGAAGACTATGTTGTCAAGAGGTTTCGTAGGTGTGAAAAACTGATCCAACTCTCAAGTGTAGGACTTTCTAGCCCTGGTAAAAATTAGGCGTATTGGACTTTTTGATTTGGCATATATCTTGAATTTTGGATGTACAACATAGTCCTTTTCATGATATTAAGTCAAATGAAATACTTTTATCATGTAAGTGTTATTTCTCACTCGGAAGTATTATAACCAACAAATGATGTCGATATTATTACCTTTCATTTGCTTTTCTATTATTTTTGAAACAAAAAAATGAGGTAATTTTTCAGAGTAACAAGATAAGAGTGTTGATAATTCCAAGTATTATAAATTTTTTAGTTCTGTGGTTTGGCTGACTTTGATTATCTTGTACTATTTTAAGCAGATACAATGCTGGATTACCTGTCCCTCGTGCTGGTTGGCCAGTACCACCTCGCCCACAGCCATGGTTCTCGCAGAATCCAGCTGGCTCAGTTCCTCCTCCTGCACCTTTAGGAATGGTACAGCAGCCATTGTTCCCTGTTCAAACTATGCGGCCTCCTATCTCATCGACTGCACCACCAGGGCTTCAATCATCATTTCCAGTTGCTCCTCCTGGATTGCCGGCATCCACACCTTCTGTTCTTGTATCTCAGCCTTTATTTCCTGTTGTAGCTAGTAATGGCATGCCTTCACAAAGTTCAGCATATTCTGCTCCTACTCTCTCAACAAGCATTCCATTAAGCTCCCCTTCAGATTTGAAGAACACAATGGATCCACATTCAATTGTCAATATTAACATGCCAAGGGGCTACCATACCCCAGGGTTCCAAGGTTTGAGACTTCCCTTCAATCTTTAAATATTTCACACTTCTGCAGTGTGGCTTGTAATGATGTGGATCATGATTTATTCTGCAACTTGAAAAGTTTGCTATTCCCATCAAGAGATTCCTAGACCTTTTCAAAAGATATGATGTACTTTCTTTCTTCTTCTGTTCCACATTAAATTTTCAAAATGAAATTGGATGCAACATGTATTTGATTGGTGGAAAAATCAATGCATATAAACTTCAGTCTAACATTAAGAAAATGAATTCTATATGTAAATCTATTATTTTATTCTCGACTTCCTAAAGTTTAGTAAAATAATTTAAACATAAGAGATGCTAATTTGCCTCTGCAAGTTCGTAGAAATGTCTAAAGATTAAACTGTCAGTTTTTGTAAAAGCATATAATATCATTTATCTTAAATGGAGTTCATGATATACAACTAGATAGGAAGTTCTTAATCTTTAAACTTCCATTAATTATTTTTCTTCCAATTTATTCCATATCTTGTGTTCATTCTGTTGGTCTCATCTCTATTTACCCTCATATTAGAATTGGAGGAATATATGGAAGATGTTGAGGAACACATGAGAGCCACTTTATAGACTAATCAATCTCAATTCCTGGATGAATGTGATAAACGCTTGCTCTAAATCAATCTATGCAATAGAATTGATGTCTGCATTTTTTGTGTTTTTAGCACACTGGGTTTATATTTTTGAAACAGTGGGGGTTACAGATGTTTGAGTACTGCATTATAAAAACCAACTGCACCAGCTTGTAATTTTTTTTGCGGACTGAGAAGGAAATCTAGCTTTCATAATATGCTCCAGTAGCAATGTCATGGCCAATGGAATGGACCAGCCTGATTAGCTAGAAAATCAGGAACTTGTTGATGCAAGTTAAATATTTTTTATATTCATCTCAAAGTTGATAAAAGAAAAATATGCATGAGTTTTTATTCGTTTTATTCGTTATATATTACTTTATTATCATTTCATGGTTTGATAAGATTCGTTTGTGGAACTTGGTTGTGTTTTAGTGACTGTTGTGTTATATAATTTGCACTGTCATATCATGTTAGCATGTGCTTAAGCAAGTTCCGCCATTATCCTATTTTTATTTTAAGCTTCATCATGACTTTCTACAAACTTGCTCCATTGATATCCTTAGCTTGTTGAAAATTTTACTTTCTAGCATAAGTTGATAACTGGCTGAGCCACAATATTGCCATATATTGTTTCTTCTAAAAACAATTTTGTGGAGATAGTAATGGTGTTTGTTGTAAATCGATGCCAAGATTAGATCCCTATTAGTTGATGGTGAATTAGAAAGAAATTGCAAAGCATGAGAAGAAAATCTAACTATAAAGAGTAAATCATAATTTACACACAAGCTTGGAAAATGTGTAGTGTTTGTTTACAAGCTAAAGTTTCATGTAATTTCATTATTGGAACCTTTAGGCTCCTCCACATAGTTTTTCAGGTCGAGTATCCTCAGGGTCACTACTGATTTCTTGGCTATTACCATCAGAGCCCCATGGGATTAGTCGAGATTTGCACAAGTGGGCCCTAGACACCTATGGTTACCAAAAGAAGTATTGGTCATGATCCATGATGAAAAAGATACAGTTTTAGAGGAGTGTAATTATTACACTTTTTAATCAAACATTTCTACGCTTAATAATAGAGCGAGTAATGAATTTCTTCATCTCTTCATTAAGAGTAGAATTGAAAAGTAGGCACTTTTGAAAATTGACGCTTATTTGTGGCAAACTAAGATAGAAACTAGGACGTTTGTATTGGGGCGTTTGTAGTACATAAGGATGCATTCACTTTGTGTGAGGAAAGGAAAGTGGGGTGTGGAACTGCAACAAAAGCAAGCACATTACAATCAATTGGTATTGTGCTATGTTGTTGAAAACCCTAACATAACTTGGGATTAAAGTACATTAAAGAAGTTTGACCTAAATCCCAACCAAACCAAACAAACCTATATCCCACTAGGAGTTGGGAGGAGTTGGGGTCTGGGGGGTGGGATGTAGGCAGACCAGACCTCTACTTTGAGAGTAGAGCGACTGTTTCCGTGAATCCCTCGACTGGTGCAAAGTGTGAGCAGAGAAAGCGTCGAAGCATATGGGAGAAAGAACATAAGAACTTGAAATACGAAAGACAATGCTAAAATTTGGAATAGAGTTAGAAATAAGCATCGACTACCATAATAGACAAACAACGAACATAACATATGGACAAAAGTGAGCAAGGTACACGAAAACATAACCAAGGTAGGAATACTTGTACCCTTAAGTCTAACCTAGGACTTAGAAGAGCTATGAACACCATGTGTAAATCTTTGCTTATTCCTTATACTCGTCTATGAGATGTCTGAGGAGGTGAATTGTCTTGATCTTTATCAATTTGGGATGAAACCAAATTGGTTCTCCATCACCTCCGTTTCACACCTTACCCTAGTCTCAATCACTCGCTCCCATAATTTCGTGGTGTGGCTAAGTAACTTTATTTCACAATAGTTGCCACACTGTTGTGTCACCTTTCTTCTTATAGAGCGGCACCACCACACTAAGCCTCGACTCTTCAGGAATCTGATAAACCTCATATTCGTTTCACTTACAGGAGGAGGGGGTTAGTGGTTAAAGGTCTTAGCTGTTATTGTGAATAAGTGAAGGGTATTTTTGGTACTCTTGGGTAGAATAAGGCGGCAAGTCTCCTTTAAGTGGAGTTGAGTTGTTAGTGGTTGGGATATTCTGTTTTTTTATATTTTCAAAGTGACTGTAAACTCTTTGGGAGAGAACCAGACCTCTCGAAAGTCTGGAATCATCCATTTTCTGTTTTGATTGCAATAAACAACCGACAATTGCTATTAGTTTACATCAAATTGGTATCAGAGCAGTAAGATCAAGCCATGGCGACAAGGAGTGCGGCAACAAGAATTGAAGATTTAGAAAGTAGCGTCGGTTCGATAGAGAAAAGTTTGGAATGAATTGTACAGCAGATTGAGAAATTAAGCAGCGATGTGGTTAGTAAATTGAATTCAACAGGTTCATCGGATGGAGAAGACGTGGACGATCCAGGAAGATCGAAGAGGAGGAACGATGAAAAACAGGAATCGAGTCGATTTCTAGCTGTGAAAGGTCGGAGGCTTGAAATTCCAGCGTTTGACGGAAGCGATCCAGATGGTTGGGTTCTCAGAGCAAAACGTTATTTTTCATTGAATCGATTCACACATGAAGAAAAAATTGATGTTTCTTTCATAGCATTTGAAGGAGCAGCTTTGAAATGGTTTCAATGGGAGAATAGACGTCATCCAATTTTACGGTGGGAGGATCTGCGTAGATTGATTTTCCGTCAATTCCGATCAATGGCGGCATGAACTTTATGCGAACAGTTTCTGGCCGTTAAACAAGAAGGTACGGTGGAGGAATTTAAGATGAAATTCGTGGAGTTGGCTGCATCATTAGAAGGAATTCCAGAGGAAGTGTTTATGAGTCAATTCATAAACGGTTTGGAAAATTCAATTAAGGCAGAGGTACGTCTCTCAAGTCCAGTAACGTTGGAGGAACCGATGGAGTTAGCAATAAAAATTGAAGTGAAGAATGCTTTGATCAGGAGTATCCATGGTAGTACTAATTCAGGGAATAATTCTAATACGGTGGTTAATTCGACGAACAGAATGGGATCTGAATACAGAAGATGTTCCGATCAGGAGGTACAATAGAGGCGAGCCTTGGGTCTCTGTTATCGTTGCGATGAGAAATATTCACCGGGTCATAAGTGTAAGAAGAAATATTTGAATGTTCTACTGGTTCAGGAGGAAGATGTAATAGAGTCGGGTGACAGTAGTAATGAAAATACAGCTTTAAACGCAACTGATGTGGTCGATGTGGGTCAAGACGTGGAGGTTCATCTTAACTCGGTGGTGGGATTAACGAATCCTAAAACCATGAAGATGGAAGGATTCATTGAAAACCAAAAGGTTGTAATTCTCATCGATAGCGGTGCGACGCACAATTTCATTTCGAATGAGATTGTTAAAAAATTGAATCTCAAGGTCGATCAGACGAAGGAGTATACGATAACGATGGGGACGGGGAATAAGGTGAGGGGAGATGGAATTTGTAGACATGTTATTTTGACGGTGCATTGTCGAGGATTTTTTGCCTATTCAATTGGGTAATAGCGATGTGATTTTGGGTATACAATGGTTGGAACTTTGGGATCGACCTATAACTGGAAGCAGTATGTTATGAAGTTCACGGTCGGAGGGAAGTCGGTGTCATTGAAAGGTGATCCAGCATTGGGTAGATCTTTAGTTTCATTGAAGGCTATGGGAAAACTAATCCAACAGGAAGGTCAAGCTGTGTTAGTGGAGTTTGGGGCTTGTATGTTGACAAATGAAGTGACAAGAAGTTTTACCAACGGTACAAACTGTTTTGAAAGAATTTCATCCTGTGTTTAATATGCCACCGGGGTTACCACCGATAAGAGGTAAGGAGCATGGGATTATTTTGAAAGACGGTACAGATGCAGTTAATGTAAGGCTCTATCGCTATCCTCATTATCAGAAGGACGAGATGGAAAAATTGGTAAAGGAGATGTTAGAAGCATAAATTATAAGACCGAGCAGCAGCCCGTTTTCAAGTCCGATATTGTTAGTAAAGAAAAAAGATGGCAGTTGGAGATTTTGCATCGATTATAGGGCTTTAAACAAGGCAACGGTTGTAGAAAAATTTCCTATAGGTCATAGACGAGTTGTTGGATGAGTTGCATGGTGCTCAAGTGTTTTCTAAGCTTGACCTAAAGTTAGGTTATCATCAGATACGTATGAAGGATGAAGACATTCAGAAAACTGCGTTTCGGACGCACCAAGGTTACTACGAGTTCAAGGTAATGCCCTTTGGTTTAGTAAATGCCCCATCTACATTTCAAGGGCTGGTGAATGAAGTTTTCAAGGATTGTTTGCAGAAGTTTGTGTCAGTTTTTTTTATGACATATTGGTTTACAGCCGATCAATGGAGGAACACCTTGACCATTTGAGACAAGTGTTTGAATTGTTGTCTCATTATAAATTGTATGCCAACAAGAAAAAATGTGAATTCAGTCGGGAGCGTTTGGGGTATTTAGGCCACGTCATTTCCAGTAAAGGAGTAGAGGTGGATGATTCTAAAATCAAGGCAATACTAGATTGGAAAGTGCCTAGTACAGTGTCGGAATTAAGAGGTTTTCTGGGATTGTCGGGATATTATAGAAAGTTCGTTAGAGGATACGGAGTCATAGCTAGTCCTCTCACGGATTTGCTAAAAAAGAATCAATTTGGTTGGAACGAGGAGGCACAAGTGGCTTTTGAAAAATTAAAGGAGAGTTTGTCCTCACCTCCGGTGCTTAAACTTCCTGATTTCTCGTTAGATTTTGTGGTAGAGACAGACGCTTCGGGATTTGGTTTGGGGGCTGTTTTGATGCAGAACGAACAACCGGTGGCTTATTTTAGTCAGGTGTTGGGAACAAGAGCTCGACTGAAATCAACATATGAGAAGGAACTTATGGCCATTGTGCTAGCCGTTAAAAAATGGAGACCTTATTTGTTTGGACGACACTTTACAGTTCGCAGCGACCAACAGAGTCTGAAATACCTGTTGGAACAGCGTGTGGTGGAACCGGAATATCAGAAATGGATGAGCAAGCTGATGGGATATAATCTCTCGATTGTGTATGTACAGGGGAGTGCAAATAAGGCTGCCGATGCACTCTCCCGTAAGGAAGAAAGCTTGGAATGTTCGAATTTAAGTGTACCCTCATGGAGACAGTGGGAAAATCTTAAAAAAGAGCTGGAGAAAGATGAGTTATTGATGAAACTAAAAGAAGACTTATTGGAAGATGTAGGAGCACATAAAGGGTTTGAGTTGCGGCAAGATCTGTTATTTTTTAAAGACAGATTGGTGATATCGAGGAAATCAGAAATTATCTCATTATTCGAAGAATTCCATGCGTCCCCCATTGGTGGTCATAATGGAGAAGAAAGAACATACCAAAGAATGGCGGCGGAATTATTCTGGGTAGGCATGAGAAAGGATGTGTCAAATATGGTGAAAGAATGTGAAACGTGCCAAAGAAACAAAGTGTTAAGTGGGTCTCCGTCGGGTCTGCTACAACCATTATCACTTCCGAGTATGGTATGGGACAATATCTCCATGGATTTCATTGAGGGATTGCCTAATTCGGGAGAAATGAGCTCTATTATGGTGGTGATCGATAGGTTCAGCAAGTATGCACACTTTGTGGGACTGAAGCATCCATTTACAGCTCAATCCGTAGCCAAGGTTTTTGTCAAAGAAATTGTACGCTTGCATGGCATACCAAGTTCTATAATTTCTGATCGTGATAAAGTGTTTCAAAGTATATTTTGGAAAGAGTTATTCAAGTTGTAAGGAACAACTTTGAAGTTCAGCACCGCCTACCACCCGCAGACGGATGGACAAACAGAAGTTGCCAACAGGGGGCTGGAACAATACCTAAGATGCTGGATTTCAGATCGACCGTGTCAGTGGAGTAGATGGTTATCGTGGGTTGAATTGTCGTACAATATAGCTTTTCATACAGCCCTAAAATGTTCTCCTTTCAAAGTGTTATATGGCCGAGATCCACCTCCTTTGTTGAGATATAAGAGTTCCTCTCCTATAGTCCAATCGGTCGATATCGAATTGATGAATCGGGATGAAATATGGGATGAAGTGAGGATGCATCTCTTGAAACCCAATGTAGAATGAAGCAACGTGCCGATTTAATAAGAACAGAGTTGGATTTGGTTTTGGGTGAGTGGGTGTTCTTGAAATTGAGACCGTACCGACAGAAATCTTTGGTTAAAGGGAACAGCCCAAAATTGTTAGCAAGGTTTTATGGTCTTTATAAAGTGTTGGAGAAGATTGGTAAAGTCGCTTATCGTTTGGATTTACCAAAGGAGGCGAAGATACATCCTATGTTCCATGTATCTCAACTTCGAAAAATTGTGCATCTTCGAAAGACCTTCCAGCTCAATTGACTGAAGAATTGGTATTACAAGTGGAACCTGAATCTTTATTAGATACAGGAGCAATTGTGCAAGGTGATCCAGGAAGCTTAGAAGTTTTGGTTAAATGGAAAGGGTTACAAGATTTTGAAGCTACTTGGGAAAATTTAGAAGCCTTGATTCAGCAGTTTCCCAAGAGTCACCTTGAGGACAAGGTGAAAGCTTTAGAGGGAGGTATTGATAAACCTCCTATTCGTTTCACTTACAGGAGGAGGGGTTAGTGGTTAAAGGGTCTTAGCTATTATTGTGAACAAGTGAAGGGTATTTTTGGTACTCTTGGGTAGAATAAGGCGGCAAGTCTCCTTTAAGTGGAGTTGAGTTGTTAGTGATTGGGATATTCTGTTTTTTTGTATTTTCAAAGTGAGTGTAAACTCTTTGGGAGAGAACCAGACCTCTCGAAAGTCTATAATCCTCCATTTTCTGTTTTGATTGCAATAAACAACCGACAATTGCTATCAGTTTACATCAGAATCTTAGCAGAACTGAGTGTGACGTTGAAGAGCATTGTCAACACCACACTCCGCACCGCCTCTCCTAGACAAAGTCATACCTTTATTAGGGCTATACCCTTCCCCATCTTCCTTAGCGCCTCCTTCACTTATCCTGTGCTAATGCCCTTGCAAAAACAAATGTTGTGTAGCCCGAGATGTTCCCCTACTTCCTATACCTCCCCCTCCCAAACCTTGCCTCTTTAAATAACCTATGGAAATAGATGCCCCATCTTCTCTTACTATCTTCATATTTTACCAAGACCCAATCATTTTTGTCCTTAATACAACCTCCTGATGCCTCCACTCCCTAACGGTGTGGGCTACTCTACTTCATGTTTGCTCGGCATCCTGTCCCCGCCTATTCCCTATCTTCCGCACTACCCTCTTCTTGAAAACTTCTCCAGCTGCCCCTTTCAGGTTTTCCCATAGGATCCTCGGTCTAGCCTCATTTTCTCCCTCTGATGCACCACTCATGAAGAGGTCCATCACCTGACAATCTATGCTGTGATGTTACCTCTCTCGGCAACACCTTGCAATCCCTGCAGGATTTATGATCCTGACTGTGCACAAGGATGTAGTCAAGGAAACTTTGAGGTGAATCGGCGATAATTCTTACTGGATTATCAAGGAAAGATGCTGACATGCAAGCAAAGTGGTTGGATTTGCACTAACGTTGTTCTGAACGCCCTATTGAAGTTGTTCTTTCACTAGGTGACATGGGGAAAATGGAACTTTAAGATTCAGTTCTCATCCAGAAAAAAGCACAAGGTTCAACCTTAATCCACAAAGATGATTGCTATGAATCATAATCAACGACAAATTAACGATATACAAATATAATTCTTGTCAAGTCACTCTTCCAAATATCTGATCGATCATTATGGAATTTTGATTTTATTTGAATTCCGTCACTAGCTTTTCCATCTGACAATATTTTTGTATCACATATTTTATCGCTATCCATTGTGATATATTCCATGGAATTGAGTTTGTGCAGGTGGAATAGCAATTAGTTCACATTCTTATGCTTCTGGCCCCAATACTGGTGGTCCCTCAATTGGACCGCCTCCAGTAATTGCAAATAAAGCTCCTGTTATTCAACCAGCAACAAATGAGGTCTACTTAGTATGGGATGATGAAGCGATGTCCATGGTTTGTTGTTTTCTCTCAAAAGTTCTGTGGCTCATTTTTTTTTGCTGTTGCTGAATTCACCTTCTGCATCGATATTCATCAATGTATTGGTTTAAATGGTATATTCGTACTAAATATACACTATGCAAATTGTTTGTTGGATGAATCCAGTGTATATTCATTGATGAATGTCACCCTCTGCATTGATATTCATCAATGTAATTTACATAGTATATTCATCAACAAATATACACTCTGCAGACTTTTTGATGGATGAATAGTGTACATTCATCAAATACACAAATTATACAAATTTTGATCGTTTGTATAGTTTTGTGGCTCATTTTAAGTTGATTTTAGTGTTGTTGATTGATCCACTGTATTGATTTTTGTTGGCAGGAGGAAAGAAGAATGTCTTTACCAAAGTATCAGGTGCATGATGAAACAAGCCAGGTAAGTCGTACCTTGTACCATAGTCCTTTACACACTACTTTATACATCTAACACGTGAGTAGGGCATCCCATGTCATGATTTTCAGATTTCAGTTTAAACATTGTTCCATAAATGTAAAGGTATTTCGGTAATCTTCCATTATTTTTTAGTTCCTTGTTTCAAAATAATAATAATCATAATGTTTGGAGAAGAATTATCTGAGCCTTTTGCTCATGTTCTGTTTTTGGCCATTCTCCGGTTGGCAAGCAATCCAATCCACCAATTTTGTGAGCATCAAAGTTCAAGTAGGTATTTACGTTATTGTTGTTTCTAGTTAGTAATTAACTATAATTCTGCTGAGGTTGCTGCGGTCAACTTGAGGACTCTCCGACCAAAGTGTATGTATTTGCTTTCTAGAATTATTATTCGTTTACCAATGCTTTAGTTGTGAAGTGTTGGATATGGGTGGAACGGAGTTTTGCCCATTCGTACAAAATAATTTTATGACGATGGCCCAGGTCAGCTTCTTCTGGAAAATTCCGATAGATAGAAGCAAAGCTCTAGTATTGAAATGTATCTTCTTTTTTTTTATCAATGATGATGTTTGTTGGTCAGTTTTGATTCGGAGGGTTCTAATTGCGTGTGTTGTGGGTCCATGGTTTTTCAGATGAGCTCGATTGATGCAGCCATTGATAGGAGGATATCAGAAGGCAGGCTTGCTGGTCGAATGGCTTTCTAGAGACGGTCGTTTTGGTCGTTTGAAGAAGAGAGGCATTCTTTGAATCATTCTAGCTATAGGTAGAAAGGATGGAATTTGCAATTTGTGCTTTCTTTCTTAATGTTATTATTGAAAGGAGGGGGGGTGGGGGAATGTCTTTGTGGAGTTTGTATTAGTCTCTGCTTGTGTGGATGAAGAAGAACTAGGGACAGATGATGTCTGATTCAAGTTTTAGTTATGTTTTGGGAATTTGTGGTTGGTGTTTGGAATGGGTATGAGATGCATGTCTTCACTTAATTCTTTTTTATATTCATGATGCAAATTTACAATGTATAATGGATTTTGGATCATGTAAGACCAACAACCCATGAAATCATAACATCATCGAACCTTCATAGCAAAATACTTTGAAGGTAAGAAAAACATTGAACCTTTATAGGGTTTTAAAAACATTGTGAAGGCTCGGTGTGTTTTGTGTTTTGTGTTTTTACAGCTGGTCCCATGAGAATTCAACCCTGAAACCCCCTACACAATGGACATCAACTTTGTGCATTTTTTAAATGTTCTTTATGCGAAGTTTTCATCACTAGCCTTGAAAAAGTTTCAACGTTTGATGATATAATTATAAGTTTTTTTTATTAATCTGGATATCCAACCTGCTATACGAGTCGCCTATTCTAGAGCGACCACCTGCTTTGCAGATAACTTGGAGTCACCGCATTTGAATTTTTGTGGCTACAAAGGGATTTTTATTCCTCTTTGGATTTGAACTTGGATCTCTTGATATTTTTGACTTTTGGACTCAAGCTTAAACCAATCAGACACCACCTTTGTAGTTAATTTTAAGTTTTTATTGTTTATGTTCTTAACTTTTCCTTATTATATATATATATATATAGGGAGAGAGAGAGAGAGAAAAGAGGATTTAATTTAAATGAGTATCCTAACTATTTAAGAAAACAAGAAAAAAAATCGTTAATGTACAAATTTACATGTGATTTTACATTAAGATCAAAAACAATGGAAGCAGATGACTTCTGCCACGGTACTATGGTAGGGGCAGAGGGAATTTCCGGTGGAGCGATGAAATGCGTAGAGATCGAAAAGAACATCAACGACAAAAGCACTCTGCTGGAAAATGGCTCCTAGGTTCGAACCTCCCACAACTCTCCCATCAGATTTTATTTTAAAATAAAAACAGGTAAAAGCAAATTAATAAATATATATCAGTGAATACTAATGATGTAAGAAACTCATCATGTCAGTTGATTGGGTGTTCCTTTTCCAGTGTCAAGGTCATGTTTTTGAATCCGCCTACTGTAAAACCCTTAATTTATTTTTAGCAGATAAAACACACGCTGGTCAAATTCTTGACCCATCCGACTTGGTTGCAACCCAACAAACCAGCAACCATTGATGCACGTTTTCAACCATTTTCAAGCTTGATTTTCACTAGTTTTTAGCGTTTTTCTTTGTTTATTTTTTGTATCGTTATATAGAACACATTTTCCCAACATTTTAACATAAAGAACATAAAGTTTCACTAAGTAAAGTGTCTAATTTGGATTTTAAAGTTTTGGTTTTAACTTGAAACTAACAAACTTTGAGTACCAAAATCGAATCCTCTAAAGTTTGATATGAGAAACGAGGCTATCAGGGTTAGATAGATATCTTAAAAATAATACCATAAAAATCGTGAGATTTGGTCGAGTATTTTACCTTGAATCGAAGAAAAACCAAAATATAGAGTTCGATCTTCAAAACCAGATTTCTCTCTAGAAACTTGCTCATTTTACAAATTATTTGAACCACAAAAATCCCTTACTGATGTTCTTCATTTATTTGAAAATATTTTGGTGTATTAGTTCATGATGAGAGCCAATAGTGACCGTTGGTTTCCATACAAAGGCGTATTTGTGGCAGAACATGTTTTCTGACTTTCAAATGTATTAAAATTCAACCCTCTTAATTCTCTGACTATAGCACTTGACCCCTCCTAACTTAATATTTTTAATTGTTGGTCCCAAAGGAGGTAACAAGGTTGCTTGGTTTGAAGAAGGGGATTGAATATAAACACATATTTTAGTTTTTAAACTCTTATTGATTATATAAAACAATCAATCAATGAATTTACATATTGTTGTGGAAAAAAGATAAGGTAAAAATCAATCTAAAACAACCTTATTTTACTATTTGAGATAACATAAAGAATCTTTAGCAAATTTCATACACTTCACACAATTGTCTCCTGTAAGATAACACATAGAATATTTTCTCTCTTGAAGGGAAGCTAGAGAAGGTGGTCTTCATTGGTATTTATACTAGAGGCACTTAATGGCTACATCACGTACATGCCTTACAGCCTCTATGATAAGCAAGTGAATGGGGTATGCCAGATGAAGAAGACTGACGTCTATTAAAATAAAGGGGAGTAAATGATTCGCTCTAGTCATGAATCCCTTTCTTGGTTCCTGGGATATTCACCCTTTGGTCTTGTTGCCTTCGGGCTTAAGTATGAAGAAGCACCACCACGAACGCTACCGCACGTTCACCGCGGTGCGATAATGCACCAGAAGGAGCTGGTACGAAAAAACCTTTTGTATAAGGTTTAAGATGGTGAATTGAGGTAGATTTACAATCCACTGCCTTGATCCACTTGGCTACATTCGCCAAACCCGAATGGGAAAAAGGGGGTCAGCCAAACAGCGGTCTCGTTTTTGACAAATCCGATCGTATGTTCATAATTTGGAGTAAAAGGAGAACTTCTCCCATTAGCTCAAACTTAATCGAAGAGAAAACAATGCTTTAGTAGTGATTTCCTTGTCACAAAGAGAGTGGGATTTGAGGTTACAAGCTCCAAGAGAATATTCTAGAGGGAAATAGTTACAATTGAATCTAATGGAATTATGCAAAAGTTTCGGACTCTCTAGAAGTTACATACATTATATACTATAAGTTCAGAAGACATAATATGGTTAGATGACAGTTAGAATACAGACAAATAAGCCGCTGACACGTGTTCTAATATCCCTAGGTCTTTTGAACATGAAACACCTCAAAACTTGTAGAGTGCAGAGTTGATAAGATGTAAAATCTTCTTCTGGATTTCTTCTTAAGTCCCAAAATTTGGAAAGGAATTTCCAGACTTGTGTCCGAACTCTAACTCTTAAGGCCTAGATCTCTGGCCTTTATATAACCGAACTCTGAGCTTTTTACTTAGAGTTATACTTGAACTTTCTAGGCTACGCATTAACTCTGAGTTAACCTCAGATATTTGAACCAACTTCAACACTTAGCATATTCTTAAGTTATCACTTCTTTGATCCAACATTACATATCTGGCTCTACACTCTTCTTTTGAACTTGCTTTTAGAGTGAGTTTCCATCCCAAATGCATGTGCTAGCTTTAGACTGTCTTCAGTCAGTTGTTTCTGACTTTCAAGTTCTTCTACGTGTTTTAGGGCCTCCTCTCTTTCAACATCATAAAGAAAGTTAAATTCATCCCTAGATATACGAAAAAGAATTTTTACTCTGGAAGAGTCCATCCAAGCTATCTGAGCTTCCAACAGATATTTCCTGGTGGCTTCTCAGCTTCAACCAATAGTTCCCTATTTCTTTGATTGAGATGTAAGGATCTCCTTGGAACTAGACTGAAATCATCGTTATAATCTACTATGCCCAATCCTTTAGGGACATAGGGAAGGATGGGATCTTCATTTTCTTAGGGGGGAGCTGAGGATGATAGGGTAGTAGAGGGATGTTTGGAAAGATGTGAAGAATGATGGAGAATTTTAGGTGAGAGGGAAATAGGCTAAAAGGATGGTAGGGGAGCGATAATGGATAATGAAGAAGGTTGCAAGGTTTTGCGTATCTCCAAGGGGGTATTAGGAAGATTGTTACTAAGAAGATGGGAAGGGTGCTATTTTGAATAATGGAGAAGACTGAGAATGTTAGCGTGTATTCAAGAGGGTATCTGAAGGAGGTCTGGAGTACATAATGATGGCCAAGGCATACAAGGTTGTTGATCCTCTCTCTCATTGATTTGATGATAATCCGTTTTATCTATTAAGAAGTATTATGTTTCTGTCTTTTAGTTCCAACGATCATCACTGAGTCTGTTCAGTGATTGCTGAAATAAGTATTGTAAATCCTACAACGATAGCGATACTTCAAGAAGACAAAACTTACACCAAAGAACCTTCAGTGAAAGTCAAAGACTGAAACTGAAGATTAGAGACTAGTGCGTTCGTGATTTGAAGTGACATTCAGTGATTACAACCTGGCCAACATATGTGTTAATATTGCCCAAGCCTCAGCGAATGCTGAATAGACCTTAAGTGTTATTCCGACATTCAACGATCAAAAGAATCTTGTTATACAAGATTGCTTTTGTCTTGTCCTTCCACACACAAAGGACAAACCCATACCCTTTCTAGAGTATAGTATGGTACAGAGCCGATTAGTTGACTCTATTACCCACCAATTCCATGAAAGAATATATGCTCATGAATAGGCTTTTGTACTATTCACTGTAGCAAAGGACAAACTTTTCTCTAAAAGCTTGACGCGTGTTCAAACCCTACTGCATTGCATTAAATGTGCATTTAATGCAATGGATATAAATAGATGTGTGCTCTCTCTATGCAGAGATACTACTACCAATCCTTATGTGCATGCGTGAAAGAACACACACACACACATCTAAGAACACACACGCTTATCTTCAAGCAAGTTAGAATCCCTTTCAAGTATTCTAAAAAGTTCTTACCCAGACTGAACTCATTTCCTTCTTTATCTTACATCAAACCTTTTCTCTTTGCTAAGAATTTTTGTGAGTAAAACTTAGGTTGTTTTAGATAGGTTATTCTTACCTTGTCTATTTCCGCATACAATCTTGTAAAAATCTGTATTGATCTTTCTTTATCATTATATATTTTTAAATTTGAAAGTTCTCTGTGTTTGTATTTATCCCCTCCTTCTACAAACTATTTCTATAAAACTCTTGTAGACCCAACGGGGACCAACAAGTCGTATCAGAGCAGTGTTTTCTTTTCTTGTTGTTTAGTTGTTTTTCTGCATTTTATTATCTCTTTCTCTAGATAATTTACTGCTTTTGTGACATCCTTCATTTTTGGAACGTCAGGTTAGCATCTTTATAGGGTTTCAATATTTAGGATTATAATTTATTAGGGTCTAGTTATGTTGATTAGAATTCATCTGGCTTAGTTCCCAAATTATAGTTCAGAAAATCCTGTCTCAACGGGTAACTGATAAAGATAACTTATGTAATGCCAAATACATTAAAAATTCTCCAAACATAATATAGTTGATAT